CTGTTTTCAGGTCTTAATTGTTTATTTCCCTTGCAGAAAAATAACCTGCATGTTCAAAATATGTAGTGAATCAGCCTGGTAAGTAAATAAATCATGGAGTCTATGCCTTTTTACTGCCAAATGCAGCTTTTCTTTCCATTTACATTCAGAAAGAAAGGGTGGAGCCAACGCCAGTGGACACTTGTCCTGGAAGGCCTCCAGGTACTTTCAGACATGAGACTGTGCCAAAAGAGGTTAGCAAACTTCCTGTTAGATACACCGGTTGCTTTGCTGTCTATAATCCTGCCTGGCAGGCTAGAGGCTTCCTGCTCTGCCAGGTTGCACAGACACCCCTAACAGGGTTTTCATCCCTGTAGAACCAGGATGCCCCAAAACTCAGGCTGGGTTTTTTCCCCTGAAACAGGGCTTGTCGTCAAGAACTTGAGTCCGCGCCTGCAGTTAACATCTTTGGGCCTGCCAGCTCAGCTGAGGGCCTCTCGCTCAATCCGAGAACCTTTCTCTGCAGAAAGCTTTTAAGTTTTCTACTTTCACGAGCTTCGTTTTCCCCTCTCAAAATTAAATGTTCCGCAGGAACGGGAACAGGCGTACCCGTGGGCAGAGAGGGCAGCTTCAGGTGGCGGGGCGAAGAGGCTGGGAAGGGGCGCTCTCTCCTGCAGGACATACCAGGATGGAGCCCCACGGATGCTGCTGCCCGAGGGCCACCACGGCAAACTGTCTTGGGTTGATTTTTGCAGCCACCTTATTACACCCATGATTGGGAATCCTTTACAAAATGAAACTAACGGGCCTTCTCTCATCCCCGACGTTTGGGAGGCAGAGGGGAACGCCTCTGCCCGCGCAGGCGCCCTTTGGCTGTCCTGAATTTCAGTTCCCACAATTAATCCACCGGTCAATAAAGCCTCGTTATTTCTAATTCCCCCCGAGCCAGGCGAACCCGAAGGTCCGTCCCGGCTGCGACCACGTAGGGGAGGCCGTCTTGTCTCTGCAGCCCATTTTTCACTGTTGCGGCAATGTCACCACCCGTAACGGCAAAGTCGAAAGAGGGTTTGGGGAGCCGGCTGGGAGAACGTGAATCTCTGCTGCCCTCTCTCGGCAGCGAACGCCGCCCAGCTGTGCGGCCTAACCCCCCCCAGCGCC